TTGTGGTAATACAGACGAATGTTGTCATTTTTATTGTCTAAGTTCCTCTAGCTTCCCCTCATTTGCTGAGTTACATGTTATTGTGGTATTCGGTTACCTGTGTAATTCCATATATGATTATATATAAACGTATTATATTAAGTCTCACCATAAGTCTAATGCACTGCTGACAGGGGCTAGCCCTGGGTAGCAATGCAGTATTGTGTGGTAGTTCCGATTCATTGAGAGTCCTGTCTCGTTCGTTCAGGGAGTCCGGTAGCAGAATTTTAGCGCCTGGTTCCTGGCTGCGCTATGTTCTGGTACTGGGGACCTCTAACTAAAGAGCGGGGCTTGTGAGCCGCAAGCGCCTTTGTAAAGGTGGTATTTGAAAGAAGTGCAGACAGAGAGGTCAATACCTGCCTGAAAAACCTGGTGATTCTTGGGGCCCTTGGAGAAGGCACGGACGACAAAGTGGGACAGGACTTAATCTCAAGCTGGGGGCAAGTCTACCCTGTACCCATTACAGCGCCCAGCAAGCAGTGAAAGGGGCAGTAACAATGCTTAAATAATCCACAGTGTGATGTCATGCTGTGAATTATCAGTTTGCATAACTGGCAGATCATGTGATACGATGTATATACCGTGTATGTGTTTGTGTATTTGTGTTTCTGAGTACACACCTTGTGTGTGACTGTGGTTAATATTATTAGCATTTATATAATGCCATGATATTCCACAGCGCTGTAATATTATTAAAAGGAGATATTTCGAGGTGAAGAAAGCCCTGCTCAGCAAGTTTACAATCTACAAGGATTTGAGGTAGATATCTCGCCCAGGGACATTTTAACCAGCAAATCAAGATGTATGACTGCAAAACTTTTATAAGATAATATTTAACTTTAATAATCTCTTTAACTATTTAACTTCTAGTACAAACCTTAATAAATCTTTCATGACTGATCGGCAGCAAATCTGAAAGTGGATTTGAAGTAATGGTGTTTAACTGCTCTCTGTGTGTTCCCCCAGCTTTACCTCAGGTAAAACACAGCATTTAATCTTCACAGTCACAGATTTTCTCACCCTCCATTACTGCACAGAGTAATCTGTGGAAATTACATTTCAAAAAGAACACGCTGTATCAAAAAAGCCAGATCTTGACAAAAAATTATAGTTGTAAGCTCAGTTTTGGGGGTTTAAATATTCATTTTTATAAAGTATTTATTTTCTTCTGTGTGTTCTTTTTTTTTTATTTCTGTCAGATGGTAAAAATCCAGTGTCCTGGGTGTGCGGGACACGTTACGTGTTTTTAGCCTGGTGACCATGACATCGGCAGCCATTTTGAAGACCAGTTTAAGAAACCAAGAAGCCTTAAGAAGCCTTTTTTCTCTTTGGGGATCACAGTGATGGTCTGATAGACAGACCCCTCGAAAGGAAGCTGTGGGCCAAGACAAACTGGGTATCGGGAGAGCCCAAAATGTTTGTTGAAGCCAAGAAGGAACCTGCCAGAGAGATTTTCTATCGAAGGGTGGACTTGACAATGGGGCATCCTCTTATTGCATTAATTGAAGTTTCTAATAATTCCGCACTAGATATAAGATATTATTGCCCAGGTTTAATATTATTGATAAATCTTGTTACTATTATCCAATTTAATGGTACTCATTTTATCTACCTCAGAAGGATGAAGGGCTGAATCCACCATGCCGGGATTTGAACCTGCAACCCAAAGGTTAAACAGATTCTACTGATGATGCATTAGCCCACCTAGCTTGTAACGGAGCTCCCTGTACCTCGGCTGGATACTTTCGCCAAGGACCACTTCCTAGCTGGAACAGGGGACAAACCCGAGCACTTCTACCCACAGTTGCCGTGGCTTGACTCGGGTCCTGGAACCGCTCCCTCCTGGAGCCAAATGGGGAACTCACTCTAGACACCCCCAGGCACTGGACGACACTCAGTCCTTACAAGGACTTTCCCCGTTGAATCCTCCACATTGGAACAGTGATTCGTGATTAGCCCTTTCCCCTCCCAGTAACCAGACGACACATAGTTCTGGGAGTACAAGCTGGAATGATTTAAAGGACCACTATACAGGGAGTGCAGAATTATTAGGCAAGTTGTATTTTTGAGGATTAATTTTATTATTGAACAACAACCATGTTCTCAATGAACCCAAAAAACTCATTAATATCAAAGCTGAATATTTTTGGAAGTAGTTTTTAGTTTGTTTTTAGTTATAGCTATGTTAGGGGGATATCTGTGTGTGCAGGTGACTATTACTGTGCATAATTATTAGGCAACTTAACAAAAAACAAATACATACCCATTTCAATTATTTATTATTACCAGTGAAACCAATATAACATTTCAACATTCACAAATATACATTTCTGACATTCAAAAACAAAACAAAAACAAATCAGTGACCAATATAGCCACCTTTCTTTGCAAGGACACTCAAAAGCCTGCCATCCATGGATTCTGTCAGTGTTTTGATCTGTTCACCATCAACATTGCGTGCAGCAGCAACCACAGCCTCCCAGACACTGTTCAGAGAGGTGTACTGTTTTCCCTCCTTGTAAATCTCACATTTGATGATGGACCACAGGTTCTCAATGGGGTTCAGATCAGGTGAACAAGGAGGCCATGTCATTAGATTTTCTTCTTTTATACCCTTTCTTGCCAGCCACGCTGTGGAGTACTTGGACGCGTGTGATGGAGCATTGTCCTGCATGAAAATCATGTTTTTCTTGAAGGATGCAGACTTCTTCCTGTACCACTGCTTGAAGAAGGTGTCTTCCAGGAACTGGCAGTAGGACTGGGAGTTGAGCTTGACTCCATCCTCAACCCGAAAAGGCCCCACAAGCTCATCTTTGATGATACCAGCCCAAACCAGTACTCCACCTCCACCTTGCTGGCGTCTGAGTCGGACTGGAGCTCTCTGCCCTTTACAAATCCAGCCACGGGCCCATCCATCTGGCCCATCAAGACTCACTCTCATTTCATCAGTCCATAAAACTTTAGAAAAATCAGTCTTGAGATATTTCTTGGCCCAGTCTTGACGTTTCAGCTTGTGTGTCTTGTTCAGTGGTGGTCGTCTTTCAGCCTTTCTTACCTTGGCCATGTCTCTGAGTATTGCACACCTTGTGCTTTTGGGCACTCCAGTGATGTTGCAGCTCTGAAATATGGCCAAACTGGTGGCAAGTGGCATCGTGGCAGCTGCACGCTTGACTTTTCTCAGTTCATGGGCAGTTATTTTGCGCCTTGGTTTTTCCACACGCTTCTTGCGACCCTGTTGACTATTTTGAATGAAACGCTTGATTGTTCGATGATCACGCTTCAGAAGCTTTGCAATTTTAAGAGTGCTGCATCCCTCTGCAAGATATCTCACTATTTTTGACTTTTCTGAGCCTGTCAAGTCCTTCTTTTGACCCATTTTGCCAAAGGAAAGGAAGTTGCCTAATAATTATGCACACCTGATATAGGGTGTTGATGTCATTAGACCACACCCCTTCTCATTACAGAGATGCACATCACCTAATATGCTTAATTGGTAGTAGGCTTTCGAGCCTATACAGCTTGGAGTAAGACAACATGCATAAAGAGGATGATGTGGTCAAAATACTCATTTGCCTAATAATTCTGCACTCCCTGTAGTGCTAGGAAAACATACTCGTTTTCCTGGCACTATAGTGCCCTGAGGGTCCCGCTCCCGCCCAGCTCTGGAAAGGGGTAAAAATTTACCTTTTTCCAGCGCTGGGCGGGGAGCTCTCCTCCTTCGATCCTCCTTCTCTCCTCCCCGTCGGCTGAATGCGCACGCGCGGCAAGAGCTGCGCGCGCCTTCAGCCGGTCGCATAGGAAAGCATTATCAATGCTTTCCTATGGACGCTGGCGTGCTCTCACTGTGAAAATTTCTCTGAAACTGCTATGTTTATAAAAAAATGGGTTAACCCTAGCTGGACCAGGCACCCAGACCACTTCATTAAGCTGAAGTGGTCTGGGTGCCTAGAGTGGTCCTTTAATCTGGCCAGATGGCCTGCTTTTATACAATTCTGAACACAGACAAGCACACCCATGACACTCCCACAGAAAACAGGATAATCGCTACCCTATGCCTGGGAGATAATTGAGTCAGGAACTGTACAAAACTCAATTGTCTCCAGGCACAAAAACTACACATTTCACAAAAAGTTCAGTAGTTTAAAACCAAACAAACTACCGAACATAGTCAATGTTACGGCACTCCCAACATAAAGGAGTTAAACCGCCATTTAGTAGAACTTCCCCTTGCAGAGGTATAGGCACAGTTACTGTAGAACCACAAACTCCCGAACTGGAAGCAGGGGAATGCACCTAACTCCCGAACGGTGTACCCAGTAGTACTCCAAACTCCCGAACGGTAATCTCACTAATATCTGCTAACCAAAGAGCAGGCACAGCATCCAAGCAGCTTATACTTCCAGCAATCAGTCTCTAACCGCGTTTAGTAAATCCCCCCAATCACGAGACCAAGCTCCGTATTGAGGGTAAAACAAGATCTGGCTTTAATGAGGGCTACCTGCCCGTATGTATGCAGGTCTCCCACCTGGTGGACACTCCCCTAGAAGACCAAATGGGAGACAGACAGGTATCAGGTCAGGACAAACAGTCATAATACATCCCCACAATGCATCCTGGCTTCCTCCTCTCTGCCCTGGAGATAATTGAGAAGTAATTCAATTATCTCCCAGGAGAAAGGCAAATCGCCATTATGCACGTGGGGGCTACAGGATAGAGAATTACTTTAAAATGTACAGTGTTACAAATGTTACAATATATATAGACATGTAACCAGGGCCGGTGCAAAGAATTTTGGGTACATAGGCGAAAATGCATTTTTCCGCCACCCCAAAAACATCTTCACCCATGTGCCTCTTAACCTCCCTTTTGTGTTTCTTATCCCATCTTTTAAATATCTGACTCCCTTTAGTGTATTTTATCTCCTATTTTTGCCTTTGTGTGTCTCCTATCTCTCCTTGTATGACTCTTACATCCTCCCACATTTTGTGTCTTACTCCTCCCAGCCCCTTTGTGTGACTCCTTTTCTCCCAGCCCCTTTGTGTCTTTTATTCTTCCCAGCTCCTTTGTGTATGTCTCTTTCCTTCTCAAGCCCCGCTGTGTGTTTCTTTCACATCCAGCCCCTCTCCCCGTCCCTTAATGGTCCCCTCCCTTCTCTGACCCTTACTGTTCCTCTCCCCTCTCTCCTCCTTTACCTGTTCCTCAGTGTTCCTTTCCCTTCCCCCCTCCTTTCCCTGTCCCTTAGTGTTCCTCTCCCCTCCCTCCTCTGTTCCCTGTCGCTTAGTGTTCCTCTCCCTCCCTCCTTTTCCTGAACCTTAGGGAATCTCTCCCCTCCTCTCCCTGTCCCTTGGTGCGCCACCCACCCCCATAGTGGTCCCCTCCCCTTCCTAGTGTGCCTCCTACCTTTCTTGTAGCGTGGCTGAGCGGAGCGAATCCTGGTACAGTGAGCTTTTCCTGTCAGTCCTGCCAGGTACAGGAAACAGAAGTTTCTGTACCACGGTACACTCCGCTTGGCCACGCTACAGTCAGGGGTGTATAAACAGTCACACACGCTCAATGACAAACACACAGACATCTCTGACAGCCAGACTCACTTATCTGACACACTCATTCATTGACAGACACTCACACGCACACTGACAGACTCATTGACAAACACACACTGACACACACACACAAACTCACAGACACTGACAGACACACGTACTCACATGCACACACGCACATACTGACAGACACACTCACTCACACACACACTGACAGACATACTCACTCACACACACACACTGACAGAACCACACACTCACACACACACACTGACAGAACCACACACCCACACACACACTGACAGACACATATACTCACATGCACACACACACACAGTAATTAATAATCTAAATTAAATTTCCCACCCAGCCTCCCTACCTGGAGAGCTTGCGTGGGTCTCTCATTGGTGATCCAGTGGGGCTGCTGGGAGGCGTGCGGCTGAATTGGATTCCGAGGTGGCGAGGGAGCTCTGATCTCTCTGATCTGCTCCCTCGCAGTCTGTTTACTGATGCCGCGGGAGCCGGAATATGACGTCATCAGTAAACAGCCTGCGAGGGAGCAGATCAGAGAGATCAGAGCTCCCTCGCCACCTCGGAATCCAAGCAGCCCCACTGGACCACTGGACCACCCACTGGACCACCCGCTGCGCCAGGGATCCAGGAGGTGACCTGGCAGGAGGGAGCACTTCCCTCCTGCCGGTCACTGGAATTTTGCGCCCCCAGAGCCGGTGCGCCCTAAGGCAGCCGCCTGTGCCGCCTTATGGACGCCTTATGGACGCTCCAGCCCTGCATGTAACATACCCCCAGATAGCTCAGGTCTGAGCGCACACTATTAGGTGAATGGCACTCAGACAACACGAATACAGTTTAATCACCATGGAGCCAAAGTCTTTAATTCCACGAACAGGCTCCATGGCATAGCTATCCGGGTACCCTCACGTATAGTACAATATAAAACACAAAGTCCCGAATGCTCCGCCGTTCGGTTTACGAACGGAGCTGAAGACCCGAAGGCTGGTAGCTCAGCGGTGCTTGGGAAGAAAAGTGCACTGAAGCTGGGCAGAGCACCGCTGGTTGTCCGGGGAGCTCCATAACACCGCCATCGTGTGGCAGCCAGGTGTAGCCGCGACCACCCAGTAACAGTCAATTAAGCTGCGGTTAACCACAGATATTGGGTGGTCAATTGATGGCATACGCCAACTTCCCGGTGGTCGCGTATTCATTAGTCTTTCGGGAAACAATACAGGAAAATAAGGGGACTGCACGGTCAAATAAACAATCGTACAAACAGGCGAATGGAGGGAGGAGAAACATAACCCAAAGACAGACGGTTCTGTCACAGTCAATATTCTTACCTTGGAGCTTGTTCCCCTTGTTCGTGGTAACGTTTCCAATGAACAGTGTCTTCCTAAATATTATAAAACCGAACACAGGCGATCATGGATGTCTAGGGGTGTTCGGGAGTTTCAGTGTTGGAAAATAGTTCTATGAACTCGACGACCAAACATCGCTGCCTGTGTTCATGCGAACAAGATGGCCACCACATAGAAACATAGAATGTGACGGCAGATAAGAACCATTCGGCCCATCTAGTCTGCCCAATTTTCTAAATACTTTCATTAGTCCCTAGCCTTATCTTATAGTTAGGATAGCCTTATGCCTATCCCACGCATGCCTAAACTCCTTTACTGTGTTAACCTCTACCACTTCAGCTGGAAGGCTATTCCATGCATCCACTACCTCGTGGTCGTCCATAGGAATTTTGGCCACCCAGACGAACACTTAGAACACTGAGGTGGAAATTGTTACAAAGTAGCAATTAGGCTTAACAAGCTCCAGGGAGGTCTCCGGTTCGAGCGGCTGTTCAGTTATCGAACCATATAGTCCAAATACATGAATGGAGACTTTTCAGTGTATATTACAAGGCCCATTGTCTGTGGGCAGGAGGCTGGCAAGCAGGCTCCTCCAGGAACTTGTGGGAAACGAGTCTTTGGGCAGAAGGCTGGCAAGCAGGCTCCTCCAGGAACTCATGGCAAACTTATGTCACGTGGAAAGGGGAGTTTGTCAAAGAGCTTTAAATAATTTTTTTATAAGATATATTTTTTTAAAAACACAATTGTAAAAGTTTATGCAAAAATATTAAATCATTTGAAATGCTTAAAAATCCAGAAATATGAAATCGAGGTTCAGTTACCACCTGCGCTGTGTGGCAGATCACTATATCTTTGATACCATCGGAGCCAGTCATTTAGAAAAATCACTGTGTATTATGTCTAGCCAATGTTTTCATCAATACTGCCGATTCCCTCAATGCCAGCCAGCACAGGTGTGCTCCACCAATATTTTATTCACAAGCCACTTAGCAAGTATTATCAGTCACGGACTTGCTCTTTAACCCGATATTTTCACTGCAATCCCCTTCCACACAGAGAGCCGCGAGCAGCCTTTATTGCCCTGAGTATTCATTCTAGATGTGTCTTGTTGGGCAGGTGATCATTGTTATCCAGTTTATATAATGTAACAGATGGTAAATGGTGGAGTTACCCTGCTGATATAATTATGTTCTTGTAACAGTTTGTTCCCGGTCAGACGGGGATCTTGGTACATTTTGTGTCTTACTCTGGTTTATATTTGTGAAAAAGGAATGGGATTAGCACGAATCCAGCCTCTGAGTACTGAGTAAAAGTGGTTAATGAGTGATGTATCTTAAGAAGACTGGGGACAAGCGTGACTGGTTTACAACGATCCCGAATTCACACAAACAAACCTCACTGCAACCTGCGTTATAATGATCCCAGAGTGTTTATTGAATTCATATCATCTGGTTTAAAGCAATACCCTCCTGTGTCATATATGGGACAGTCCTAATTCCAGAATCCTGAAGAATAGCATTAAATATATGACTGCAGGATAAAGTAGGGGTTGGTATCGATGATGTATATATATTTGTTTAATCCCTCCCCCCTTATAACATTGTAACACGCTGCGGAACATGTTGGCGCTATATCAATGATATTAATAAGAAAAATATCCGGTGTTTGATTCTGCATTTTTCTATGCACCGTATAAACCAGCCGAGGATGGACACTTTCCTCCTGGGTACCAGAGTACCTACCTACCCCTGTGTTTGAGTTATTGAGAGACGGTTCAGTAAAATTCCAGCTATTTTATCAGCTGTCTGTCGTTTGAAGAAAATTAAATGCAGAAAAGTCAGTTTTGGTGTCAGATTCCATCGTATAGCACTGTGAATGCTGTTAGTGCTTTATTAACAATAAGAATTCCCCCTCCATTTATCAGGGGCAGTCTGCCGGGGGTTTTTGAGGCTGCCAAGGCTGGCTGCTGCCCTCTTGTTCCGGAAGACAAGCTGGCTGTGAAGTCATTCCTTCATTCTGCGCTCAGTAGAAGGTACTCGAGCGATAAGATGATTCTTCATCCAAAACTGAGGCAGCTGTTTGTGTTGAATAATTTTGAGAAGCACGTGTTACTCTCTCACCCCTCTGGGTGGTATGTTTATTCCTCATTCTCAGGTCCTCTAGCAGAGGCTGGGAGTCTGGGAGTTCTGTGCTGTATTTTTAGCTGTTCCTTGAACTGCACTCTTTTGCACATCGATCTCAGACTTCCCATCAGGAATATTCTGAATCCAGTCTCCCAACTTAGGAGTTCCTATCAGCACTGGGAGTATTACTGCTGAGTTTTAACACATGTATACGGAAAAGGCACACGCATTTATAAACACAAAAGTAAACACACACGTTTACATAAACTGCCATGAATCCATATATCTACACTTACTATAAATACACAATGGGAGCCAGTGTTACTGCTAGGCAAACTAGGCTACCGTCTAGGCCCCAATGCTGCCTAGGGCGCAATCTAGAGGAGTCGCTGAGGTCGTGAATGCTACTGGGCCCCCTCTATTCCTCTTGTTCCGGGGGGCCTGGCAGCCACATTCACTTTGCTCAGTCTGCTTGAAACCGTATCTTGCTCGCTTCAGCCAATCCGAGAATGCGATTCCTACCACCAGCCAATGAGGAGCAAGCCAACATCACGCCCTCCCACTGAGTCTGTCCCCACATGTGGAGGTAAAGGCAGCCGCCAGCACAAAGGTGAGACGGAGCCCCACGTCAGCTCCCGTTATTAGATCACTGGATAATTAAATGGATACTGCCACTTGGAAATTATTCTTTAACTTGTAATGGTGTCTATGAATGGCATGGAAATTAGTATTTTTCTTTATAATGGCACAGTGTAGGAATAATAAAGTGCTGTGATGGAGCTCCCGTACTCTGACCTAGTACCTTCGCCGAGTCCGCTTCCTCGCTGCCACAGGGGACCCTGGAGCACTCCAGCCCCAGTCACCGAAGCTTGACTGAGGTCTCTCAGGAACTCTACTACCCGAACAGACTGCAGCCCCCTCCTTCCTGGCAGGTATCGTCCCCTCTGCAGCTCTCTCTCCTTCCAGGCAGGTATCGTCCCCTCTGCAGCTCTCTCTCCTTCCAGGCAGGTATCGTCCCCTCTGCAGCTCTCTCTCCTTCCAGGCAGGTATCGTCCCCTCTGCCTATTTCTCTGTAGCTCTCTCTCCTTCCAGGCAGGTATCGTCCCCTCTGCCTATTTCTCTGTAGCTCTCTCTCCTTCCAGGCAGGTATCGTCCCCTCTGAAGCTCTCTCTCCTTCCAGGCAGGTATCGTCCCCTCTGCCTATTAGTCTGCAGCTCGCCTTCCAGGCAGGTATCGTCTCCTCTGCCTATTCCTCTGCA